GCGGCATAGCTAAACGAAGAAAACTGTTTGCAATTGACAACAGATGACACATTGACAAGTTTCTATTTATCTCCAGTAGTTTACTTCAGTATTACAAAATCAATCTAGTTGAATAACATAGGTTAGACATTTACAACAAGAATTTAATGTGTATTGAAGAAACAATGTTTTCCAAATAGATAATTTCTCAAGGTATTAGAGATTACCATAACTTATGAAACAAAGAGAACTAAACAACTGCTTGATCTTAGCCGCTGGACTTCACAAAAATCTATATACGGGACAGTATGAATTTATTGGAGTTGCAAACAGACCATTTGATTTCTACTGGCCTGTCTACAACATCCATGGGACTCGCTGAAAGGACTATACAAGATAAATGTTCCAGTTTGCCAAGGAGCCTCAGATTAATAAGTAGATGTCTGTTGTCACATATTTTAAAGAGTTGACCAGTTAGTGTTAGTTATTAATGACTACAAACTATTTACAGATTAAGGCCACTTTAGAAAAACTGTTAGCGCAGATGTAAAACAATAACAGAAAATAGTGCCTAGCGCCATTAGACGTTTAGAAGTTGTAGAGAGAAATCAAAAATTTTAAAAACATTTTATGACAGACATTTATTTATATTTACAAGCAAATTTTGCATAAGTTGAATAAAATTCTTTCTTTCCAACTTTATACAAACTATTTTAAAGATTAGATATGAAATCTCATTTAGTCAGTCGATGAGTTGTATGGATAGAACTATTATATGTGTACAAATGCATGTAGACAAAAATTTTAGGTTAAATACAGTTAAATTACATTATTCATTAGGAAGATCACCTAGATACAGCATAACAAACTTAATGATTACAGCTGAGTTATGTATTGTAGGCAATAAATAATATGTGAGATCAGTGTACACAACAGCACCATATAGCTCAGCGTTTCCTATCGTTAATGTAACCGTATCCTATAGTGTTGTTCAGAATGACAACGGCAATTTTGCAATCAAACTACTAACAAATATATTGCAAATGAATTTTGCTTTTTCTGTACTCAGCAAAATCTTTAATGCCATGTTTGTCAATGCAACACTCAATCGACATCTTCATTTTACGTGTCCCAAGATCACTACCAGTCATTCTATAACTAAACATTGCTGTGGGTTAATAAAACATAACCCTCTTTACATCTAAAGCTCTCAGTAAATAAGGTGATTATGTTAATTACTGAATGGAAATATGTGTAAACCCATCTACATCGAAGCTTCGATTCCACTACATAAATTCTTACTAATATTAGTATTCTTTCTATTATATCTTGAAATCACAAGAGATAAAACCATACTCCGTATATAACGTTCAAAGTCTTAGTGGTCATTTTCTGATTTACTTAGAACCGTACAAATCAACAGTATGTCCGAACAGATCTATGTGGTGATAAACTTTTCATATCACAATCCTTTAATGAATAGACTAGTATGTCCAGAAGAGAAAAACCGAAATAATTTACAAGCCAGCTGACCTATTTAATACAATAATAAATTCTAAAACAAAATCTTTCAGTTCACCTTAAAAATGGTAACGTATCCATTCATGATGCTAACTACAAGAACTATGCTATGTGAATTTAAACACATAAAATTATGAAGTACAATAATAATTATTTAATTAATGTATTTCTATATATAGACCAGTTTATAAAATCCGAAGACCAACTCAACATTAGTAACAATACAAACTATTCAACGAATTGAATGAACAATCAAGATATTGAAGACGAGCCCATCATTATGTTTGCATGCTCGACTTCGGTTAAAAGATTGATTATATAAATAAACTAGACTTTTTGTAAGAATTCAAATTTTACTTTGGGTAGCAAATCTTCAAATAATATATTTCCTGTTTCTACAGCTATTTTGTACAGTTTTCCGAAATTTTATGTATTTCGCTGCTTAGACCGATTGCGAATATTAGTATAAAGATCAAGTGCTTACTAACATTTCGGGTTGGACCTGATAAATTTTTTAATCAATATATAAATCTCCAAAGCTGAGATAATCGGTACTGGGAATTAAATGTCATTTATTCACGATTATACTTCATAATAATCGGCTAATTGCGTAAGCCTTATTATAATGGGTATCCAATTTTAGAAAATTAACACCAATGAAATAAAACGGTTTATGCAGATTTGACAAAATATAGTCCCAGATAAGCAGATTACGATTGCATGTCAAATAATCAGACCACTTCTCGGATAGCAACTTTTCATCCTACTGTGTTCTGATAAAAAAAACATGAGAACTGACTAAAAAAACACGTCTACCATTATTTATTTGATCATTAGTACTAAGGGGCACCAAAATGAACATGCGCCATACAGGCAATTGAATTTGTGTGGGCTGATACCGTCCGGGGTGCTCAAACCGAAACAAGTGATCTTATTAGGACACTACCAGAGCCTTTGACCTCAAGGTATAATCCACAAGGCGGTGGAGCAACGTTAGGAGATGCAGTCCCACGGTAGCCGATGACCAACAATAGATTCATACGCCATTTGTTTCCTCGGAATCCTGGAGCCAATGTACACCATTGTTTTGGAACCTGGTTTTTCCGGTTCCTCTAGGCGAATGCACCGTAATAACCGAGGTTAAGCTCCAGATGATCGTTTTTCATCCTTCCAATTTTATAAACACTGATGCCGTGATACGGAAGTGAGTGGGACTTTTCTGGCCGTGACTTTGTATATGTGTCCGTTTGAGAGCATTTACAGAGGAAGAGTGGACTAACCACACTCTCAGCCGTACCAGCTAATAATAATTCTTTTTTCTGAAACTGCAACAGTGCATCAATTCGCATCGATTTGTAGCATAAACTGTAAAACTGTGTTTCATAACGACTACTAGTTGAACAACGAAGGCTGATGTATAACACTGGTATCAACTGTTAGCAAAATAACTTCGTTTCTGATTACACCATAGTGAAATAATTTCGAAATATGTTGTACTTTAATCTAGTATATACTTCAGCTCGTATATAAAATATCACGAGTTGCAAAAGTTTAAAATGAGAGACGATAGCACTTAATCAAACAAATAGAAACTAATTTGTATTGAAAAGTAACAAATGATCGTTAAAGTACATACAGGAATTACTGAAAGATGAAGAGCTTCCAAAATGCATGTATTTCGCTCGTGATTCGGTCAAACTTTGTAAATTGATAACTTAGTAATTTCATATTTAAACTTGAATAAACATAAAACTCTTTCTGGAAAAAATGACTAATTTCCGTTGATCATTAACATTTCTTTCGCGATATTCTTAAACATTTATGAATAAGTGATATGAATAGATTAAAAACCTCAAGATCAAGAACACAATGAAACGTTTCATCAAAACTGAATGAACGCTATTATTAGCACTATTATATTTGATCAAACTTCATTACCTATACCTGTCACAAACCACGTAGAACTGCACTTTAAATGAATGAACAAAACATCAATTTTTGTGAACTTTTACTTAACAGTCAACATTCAACCAGCTGTGGTTGATAATATATAATATTGATGGAAATTTCATAAGACTGAAGTGCATTGATAATAATAAGGCTAAAATTATTGTTAAACAATCACCATCCGTTCCACCAAAAAAAATAGGAAATCACAGTATTTGGCGATATAATAACTAGTGAATCAATATACTGAAACTAGAACAAATAATTCGTATGCATGTTCTTGTGAAATGTTACAGATTATGTAAGATTACAAGATTAAAGGATATATATATATATATATATATATATATATATATATATATATATAGAGAGAGAGAGAGAGAGAGAGAGAGAGAGAGATGAGACAATTTCCGTTCACAAACACACAAAAAGAAACTAAGTACCATTACTAAACATTTACAGTCAACATTCATTCATCTGAAACTAAGTATCCAATATGTATATATACAAGTGGGACAGACTAAATAATCCATAAATTAAATAAAAGTTCTGACTCTAAATTTACATGTGCAAAAAAATAGAGAAAACAAGATCACACAAACTAATTACTGTAGTTTAGAATGAGCAAATTTAAGGGAATGCTGTGCAAGGATTAAACAATACGAACTAACACCAGACAAATATAAATAAAGATAAAGATAAGAAGAAACCAACCAGACTAAAAAATTAGTAAGACAGAGGTAGAGAAATATATATATATATATATATATATATATATATATATATATATATATATATATATATAATGACTACGTGAGTGGAAGCAATAATTGTGTGATGGTATGGAAAAAACCACAACTCTTATAGAGCTACATACCAGAGAAAAATATCTGTATCCAAAGATGACTCGTTTTAATGATAATAAACGCATATGCAACTCTATCTCCGTATGTGTACGTAGGAAGTGATCTCTTGAAATTATTAAACAGCACCCGACGAATGTTCAACAAAATCACGGCGACCAGTATTCCAACCGCCAGATAGCACTCTCTGAGAAGGCTGGTATGTCTCGTTACAATGATCAGGCATATTAGTTTGGCAGACAGTAGGAATTCCAGAGATAAGACTATGTTGAAGTTGTTGTTGAGTTTGTTGTTGCAATTGTTGTTGTTGTAACTGAAAAAACATTAAATTATGATAGGCTGCAGCGGCCGCATGAGCAGCCGATAATTGGTTATTTGATTGTACAACATGTTGATCATCCCTTGTAATGGATAACTGAGGATTTTTACGTACACTTCTACGATTAGATATATATTCTATTGGTTGCTGAGTATTATATGGAAATATATCATTAGTGAAATGATTACATAACTTTTGAGGAATGGAATTATTAGTATTCACCGACTGCTGATGGAAAGGTGACGTAAATACAAACAAACTTGGATTTGATCCCCAGACAACAGACTCTCGACTAGGTGGTATATAGTTGACAGGTGATGATACAGGTCGACTGGAGGAATGTAAATGACTTGAATCTTCTTGTTTTATCATCGGTTGAACTCGACCAACTGGTACTAAAATTAAAATGATCGAAAGAATAAGTAATTTAATCTACTACATAAAAATCCCAAAATATTATAATATTATATATTTGAGTACTGATTCGTAAGCAGAATCTTTTACGTGAAAGGGAGAGTGACTCTATTTACTTGTACAATTTGAACATACATTTTTGTTTTAGCTTTTATGATGTCTACACTTACAACTCTTTAAATAAAGTGGTGTCTCAAGAAATCTAAGTCAGTGACTACCTGATTGCGACCAGAGACAACAACCAGTCATCGAAGCACAATTACAATATCACAGTTAGGAAGTGATTAGCTACATTATTTGTATATGATATAACTTTGTTAAATAGAATTTGGAAAGATAAATATAACAGTGGACTGATAGCTGTCGAAACCAAAACGAATTCAGTGTGAGAGGAAAATGAATGTATGAATCTGTATTGTTTATAAAAGTTCCGTAAATAAGTGCTTAATTTATTACGTAGATAGTAATGATTATGACAAGAGTTTTCCAGCCATAACGTTTAGTCTGTCAAAAAATGGATGTACCTGTCCCACAACAGTGATTATTAACTATATCACAGTCACTTCAATCAATAACCCCAGTTAATGAGTGGATCCCAATTACGCAATCTACACTCACCCACTATTAGCTTTCGAACAGCATTTCGTGCCATGAGAAGTGATTGTCAGATATATATAACGTATGATCTAAGGATTAGTTGAAGGTCTAAAAGTGGTAGAAATAACGTACAGTTTTTCAAGACTTAGAAAACTGCATTTTGTCAACGTTTTCCTCATTGAACAGGACATGTTTTACGTCATATAATTCAGAAAGGTAGGTGAAGAAATTGTAATTTCTATTAAGATATTTAACAGAAAAATAAATAAGAATGAGAATGGTAGGTTCGGGTAAATAGCCTTCAGAAGGTTTACGTACTTCTCGGTACATCCTTCAGAGAAAAACATCGCCACAACACAACTCGGTCAACTTGGTCGAACGAAGCCTTCACTTCAAGAGATATTACGGTCGACCGTCGTCATGCATATTTGTTCTAAAACATGCCCAAGGGTGAAGATTTGTTCAATATTTTTAGTCAGGTCTAAAATTACATTGTTTATCCCGGGTTTGCTGTAGCCCAGCCCCATTTAGAATATTTAAACTCTGCTGGTTAATATTTTAAACACTGTATTGATCAGGCTGATTACTTTATAGCTGTAACAAAAGTGAGTAAATCACGATTGCAATTTTTTTCGGAATAAGATCAATATCAGACGACTTTTTAATAAATGTTCCTTAGACGAGACTGCAAATTTCCCCAGTATTCATTATGGAGGTCGGCTTTTCATTTTCCACCATTGCTCACAACAATTTAGTAAACTTTTTGCTAGCATACGTCTAAACTTATATTCAGATAGTTGTTGGAACAATATCTCTACATAATTTTTTGGATAGAAGATATAAAAACCAAAAACGATACCAGTGCCTACGCTAACAATCCACTAACTGGCGAGAAGTAAACAATAGATTACATCTATTAAGTGAAAACTATATTGAAACCGAAATTCATGAACCAAAACAAAAAGTGAATGCCTAGTTAACTTATGGTGTACGAAAAGTTGTAAGGATAAGGTAAGTCTACTCGCATCGAAATTACGATACGCCTGAGTAGGGCTCTGGGATTGACGTAACAAAGTCAGTAAGAACGTATAGATTTAGTTAACTATTATTATTAGAAATCTAATTCACAGTTTGAATGTGATTATAAGACTACACGTATTCACATCAAGATATTAGAAATAACCATGAAAATGAACCTACTTTTTTTATCGGAACGCTGTTGACACATCAAATCGAAGGTTGACTTGTACGCCCTAAGATAAGTTACAAAATATATTCCCAAAATAATTTACAAATTTAAACAAATTAAAGAAGTTAATTACTTGTAACAGTAACTAATTTATGGTATACGTGAAGTGATGATCAGACAGCTAAAACAGACATCTTTCACCTCATTTTTGGACGCCATTTTACTTCGATTTCGCATTATTTTAGGAGTACTTTTAATGTGCATAAGTCGTAGTCTGAAGAACTTTACACAAAGCTGTAAATTAGCTGCCGAATTATTATTAATCTTATTCATGAAATATATGATAGGAAGAACTAAGCATAACTAGAGACATCAGTGACGATGAGTATATTACCATTTCGAACCGTATTATGTTTTGCTGGTTGAGAAAAGCCTGGATGTAATGTTTGCTAATACAAACATAGCGCCTCTTAGTTATGATTCAAACACTTGGATACAACAATAACCCTTTCTTTATTAGCCTGGGCTATTCAAAAGATAATTCTGTAAGATAATAGTAATTGGTAGATACCAAAAATGTGATAAATCCAAGCTAACAAATGCGCAGAAATCTTGAAAACGAATTAGAAGCTTATTAATAGGAAAATGACAATTTCAATTACCAAAAAAAGTTTAAACTTGCAAAGCTATCGTAAAAAACAGTTAGTAAGTAGGTATCGATAACACGGTTAGACTTCATAGTTTCAAAAAAATTGAGCATTGATTAGAGTTAATGAATATATTTTTGTTACATCCCAATGAGTATGAAAGTTGTATTTCCGACGTTTCGTGACTTAATGTAAGCCACTTTTTCAGAGTAAATAAACAACAGAAATTCGGTTATTTATGGTGACATATACGTAGTTTTCCTACTTCAAACTTGTCTTTTCAATTTATTTATTTGAACACATAAATATTGGTACAAGAATGCACTTTTTTATGAAGAAAGTAAAAGAAAGTTACAGCAGGATCGCCACTAGCTCCTATTCTGATCCATATCTGATAACGTCTCTAGTCACTGTGTCGCAGTATCTCACAGACCCCAACTAGGGAGTCGTGAAGGACCGACACACGCCAGTCCTTTGCAGCTTTCTTTCATACCACGACACCATGTCATACAATGACCACCTCTCCGCTTTTTCCAACCAGTCCCAGAGTCGGCAAATAATGCACGATGTGGAGTTCTCTGGGACGACATTCGGAGAACATGTCCAAGCCACCGAAGTCGGTGTTTCAAGATGGTCACACCAATTGAATTATCATCTCTGTGCCCGAACACACGATCCCGAACCTCTGCATTACTAACATGGTGTTGCCACTGAATGCCAGCAATCCTTCGGAGACAGAGATGATCGAACACAGGGAGTCGTCTAACATCCTCAACTCAGAGAGGCCAGGTTTCACAAGCATAGAGCAAAACTGCTCTCACCGACGCGTTGTAGATCCGGCCTTTTACAGCCAGACTAACATCGCGAACGCACCAAAGATGGCCCAGATTGGCATAAGCCGCTCTGGCTTTCACTATACGTGCATTGATCTCATCACTCACGCCACCACCAGCACTTATGCAGCTACCCAGATACACGAACTTCTCGACTACTTCTATCTGCTCACCATCCAGGGTGAGTACAGGATTAGAATCCTGCCAGTCTTGTAGAAGTACTTTGCACTTCGAAGGTGCAAAGCACATACCATACCTACGGACACTGATTGTCAACTGATTAAGTGCGGATTGCATGGCTTGGGCATTATCGCACAGTAAGACAATATCATCTGCATACCCAAGGTCGAAAAGTTTTACTCGAGGCAACAGATCCACACCACCATTACTTACATCCATCAGAGCTGTTTCCAGAATGTCGTCGATGGCAAAGTTGAAGAGGAATGGTGAGATTGGGCAAACCTGTCTAACCCCACTGCTCGAATGGAACAATGGAGAGAGGTGGTTGTATGCCCTCACTCTGCTTGAGGTGTTTTTATATAGGGCTTTTAGGATGTTAATAAACTTCTCAGGCACACCCTTCTTCAAAAGACAATCCCAGAGAACAGTCCTGTACAACGAATCGAAGACAGTCCTGATGTCAAGAAGCACTACGATTGTTGGCCTTTGATAAGTATGGCGATGTTCTAACATTTGGCGGAGGGTGAAGATATGATCAATACATCCTCGACCAGAACGAAACCCAGCCTGCTCCTCGCGAGTCAATCTTTCTCGGGTTTTGAACAACCTACGAAGAATGACGGAAGCCAATAGCTTGGACGCAATCGGAAGTAGACTTATCCCCCGATAGTTGTTACAGGAACGACGTGAACCCTTTTTAAAGATAGGGACAACTATCGACTCATTCCATGACGTTGGTACACTCTCTAACTCACAAACCTGTATAAACAATGTCGTTAGTCAGAAAGTCACCACCATCTTTATATTTTCGATAACACACTACTGACTTTTTGTTGTCTTTTATCCAGACAAGTTAACTGGACGAAACGTTGGAATTATTTAAATTTCAATCTCTGAGATTATTTTAAATATAATTTTCACATATAATGAATATTCAAAGAGATTTGTGGGACTTGTTGATCTATATACTCGGCGCCCAAGCTTGACGAATATTCGTATAAAATCTTTTAAACATTCAAACTTACCCCGGAAATCCGCAATCCGATTTGATAGCATTAGGATTTGATATAATTTCTGAAGGACAGCTAAATGTATCATGTTGAACTAAACTATGAGAAATCCTATCTACATTCTCAGAACTAGAATTTATAGCGACAGACTGACGTTTCATGCGATTGGAGTTATACGAAGAACCTAACAAAAAGTAAAAACAAAAACATTGATGTGATAAGATTCTATGCAACACAATGCTTCAACACAAGAACCACAAAAATGTTACTAAAGAGACACACATACAGCAAATATGGAGACTATAGAAAGTGGTTAATTAAAGAAACAAACAGTAAACAAATATTTGGAATTTGTTGAATGATAACTACTTATCATCTGTAAACAAATTCAATTAGTTTAAAAGTAACTTCCTCAGTCAACAATATGTGACTGTATGTTTTTATTAAATCAATTGTAAAAAAATGGACGCAGAATGTGTACAAACAACTTAACAGAAAATCGGCATTTAATAATTCACTGAGGACACTTAGATTTCAGTTTTCGATGACAAAATAACATTTAAACATACTTGGAGGAAGCATTGACAAATTGACAGCATTATTTACAACTGGTTCTGAGTTGTTTGTTACTAAATTCATAGGCATGCAATCTGTATCGTTCACAAAAGGATTGTTCGGTTGGACTTGAGCAACAGAATGTTTGTGGACATCGCTATGATTGACCATGTGAGGTTGTTGATCTTGATAATGAAATGAAGTAGAGTCCTGGTGTGACAGAGATTGTTGAGTTACCGATCCATGAACTTCATACGTTGGAGCACGCTTCAAGAAATACAATTAATAAAAGCAGTTAGATAAATGTAGATTTAAGAGAAAACGCGATACCACTTAAAATACAGAAAGTTAGCATTCGTAGTTATATGGAGTAAACTTACAGAAAAAAACTATGCCAGTAGTAGGACAACAGAAGTTAAAACTCACAAACTAAATATAGGAAGGCGAACAAAAAAACCGCATAATACTCGGTCACGAACTTCAGCACTACAAAATGATATCACCACCAAACATCAACAATCATTTGGAGAAAACGATGGTCAAACCCAGAATGTCGTAAAAAACCTTCGACCCGTATATGGAATTTTACAAGCATACAAAAAATTGCTCTCACCGACATGTTGTAAATACAACAACTTCACCCAGACTTACATCACGACAGTGCCAAGATAGACAGTAGCATAAACCGCTCTAAATTTCACTATACATGAACTGGTCCCATAACTCAGGCTATTTACGGAGCTAACAAAATACAAATTTTTCAACTAATTTTAACAAGTGAGTGAACGAACAGGCTTCTCTCAGTTTTATAGAAGTACTTTGAACTCGGGTGAATAAATATGCCATACCTACCGACACTGATTACCAACTGATGGATAAACTTCTCAAGAACGTAACTTCTTAACATACAACTGAAGAGAACAATCCTGTATGAGGGATCTAAGACAGATTGATAGCAAGAAACGTAGAAATCGGTGGACTTCAATAATGATGGCTGTGTTCTAACATCTAGTCTACAGTGGAGATATGACTAATACATCCACGACCAGAAAAAAAACCAGACTGCTTCTCACAAGTCAATCTTTCACGGGCTCTAAACAATTTATGAATTATGTCAGAAGTCAATAGTTTGGACGCAATTAGAAGTAGACCTATCTCTTGATAGATGTTGCACAGGCAACGTAAAACATGGGCTAAATACTCCCTGACTTTTTGAACTTATTACTATTTGACTATGGCAAAGGAAATCATGTGAGATGTCCGTCTCAAAATTTGTCTGATTTACTTTTATTTGGATAGGTTTTGCCTTGTCATTTTCATAGGATAAGTCAACAACTAATCAGTGTACTAGTAAATTCCACAGGATTGACCATAATTATGATATATATGTTAAAAGTAAAACTGAGTATGTGATTAATGTATTGTGAGTTTTCTTCTGTATTTAGTTGTTTTTAACTAGCTTATTTTGTAGTGCGAAATGTTTGAATATACTTAATGGATTATGAAGTTCCGTCTTCGTCACCTAAACATAATCGGATATATTAGCAACACCATGTAAGTATGACTATGGTGTAGCAGGTTTTGTTGCACCGCAGATCATCACTCAGCTAATCAACATGAAGCATTGTAAGGGGCACTAGATATATTCAAATCAGTGACTCGATAAATTATCACAGCTTCAAATGTTTATCGTTATCCGAATTATATGAATCTACATACAAAAATTCAGCTCATTAACACTGTTAGGGACACGAATAAGCGACAAAATTCTATTATCAATCCTTATCACATTTAAATCTCGCAAGTCGATGAACCAATTTGTCAACCATAGAGTAATATAAACAATCATTCTTTTATTGACAATTAGTTATGTGAGATATCACAAAACCAGAAACGTTCAACTTCCGTAAATATTATGTGATCTCATACCTTGAATATGGTACTCATTTACTTTAATGCTAACCATAACTTATACATTGGTATGAGTAAAGCTGTTTTCGAAATTTCTAAATCCATCTAATATTAACATTTTTAGGAATACAGATCTACATTTAATTCAAAATGGAACAAAGTTATGAACACATAAAAAAACAGATGCCTAGAATAAAAGTAGTCATCTTCAAAAAGCTTATAACGAGTAATTAACTCAAAACACAATAACACTTACAGAACAATTAAGGTCCGGTCGAACTATCTCATTGATTCTCGAATTGATCAATGGACCTTTGACTAAATGTGATGGACAAGCTCCATGACACTCACTACATCTTCTGGAGACATTGTTAACAAACTCAGATCCACTGCTGCGGGTGGACTTAAATAAAGTAGAGGGATGTTTTTGATTATTATTGAAATTTTGCTGGTGATGAGCCACAGCTAAGGCTGCAACAGCAGTTGCGGGATATTGATATAAATGTTGCTGATTTACTAAAGCACACAGAGTATCACATAAACCAGTATTCGGTTTACACGTCACATCAATGGACTCTTGACGAGCAGTACAAGCCCCATTACCTTTTTCTCGACCTACAATATCCAGCATAAATGAATTGTCACCTTCAGATAACCTGCTGAGTTCAGGTTGAATATAAACAGAGTGGAGAGGATGATGTAGCATTTGTCGGATATGGTTTGTTTGCGAAGAGTTTGTCGAGACACAACTCAATGGCTGCACTCTTGGAGCTGGAATGGAGCTACTAATTAAAAATGGTGATGGCGCAGGTGCGGTGACAGCATTTAGTAGGGATAATGCACTACCAGCACCACCAGCAGTTACCAAGTCGTAGAACGAAAGAGAACGTTGCATTGGAGAAGCATATGTTGCCGGTAAACTATCAGCAGTTACTTGACTTGGTCTCGCACAAACCTCAGATTTGTTTTGAGAAATAATTATAGTTGCAGGAGTACATTCAATGACTGGGCATACATTCCCAGATTCTGTCGCAGGAAGAGACACATGATTAGTTTCATTGATAGCATTCAGTGAAGAGTACTGATGCAAGCACGGGAAGCTGGATGAATTACTATTAGGAATTGGGATGAGCTGTGAAGTTGATTTCGCCGAAAACGCAGCCGCCGCTGCTGCTGCTGCGGCATAGTATGCAGCTCTAGCATCAGCCCGACAGTTAGATGAGTGATTGGCCTGATGATATGGGTGGCTGTTAATTTGTGTAGACAATGCATTTCGAGTATCAATAATATTCGAAGTAACATAATGAAGAGTTTCCGGGAAAGTGCTAACAACCTTCTGTGGTAAAGACATACATTTCGAATTGGAATTAAAATCAGTTGCATGCTGCCTACGTGCGTTACTATGACAAACCTGCATCAGTGTGAGAGATTCTTGGGTTCTAAAACAGTAACAAAACAAAATTTCAAAAGATAATTTGAGTAAGATAGAAATGTAAAGTAGCACACCAAATATGCGCCAAACAACAACAATTAGGTTGCGAAGTGATAGAAAAAGGTGAGTATAATAAAAAAATTTAAAAAATAGATAGGAATTAGTGTATAAGGCTGAAATAATAATATTATTATTGTGGGAGAAACAGTTCAGTTCGGAAAAATGCAACCAGAAGAAACTCTTTCAGTTAAAGAAGTTACTCTCACACTTATGAAAAAAGTAAAACAAAATTACAGCAGGATCTCTGCTGGCTTCTATTCTGAGACATGTTTAATAACATCTCAAGCCATTATGTTGCACTGTCTCAAGGACTCCGAATAAAGAGTCGTGATGGACCAACAGAAGCCAGTCCTATACAACTTTCAATCATATCACGACACCATGTTATACGTTGGCCACCTCTCCGCTTTTTCAAACCGATCTCAGTCAGAAAATAATACACGATGTGAAATTCTCTGGGACGACACTCACAGTAGACCAAGAGACCAAAGTCAATGTTTCAAGACAGTGAGACCTACTGAATTATCGTGGCTGTGATCGAAAACACGTCAGCAATCCTTCGGAAACAACGATGATCGGACACAGAGAGTCATCTAACATCCTCAACTCGGAGAGGCCAGGTCTCACAAGCATAGAGAAAAACTGCTTTCACGATGTGTTGTAGTTCCGAACACTTACAGCCAAACTAACATCACGAACGCGCCAAAGATAGCCCAGATTGGCATAAGCATCACTGGCTCTCACTATAATTGAATCAATCTCATCACTCACGCTATCACTAGCACTTATGCAACTACCTAGACACACGAGCTTCTCGAATACTTCTATCTAACCACTACCCACGGTGAGTGCAGGACCAGGGTTCTTCCAGTCTTGTAAAAGTACTTTGCACTTCGAAAGTGCAAAGCCTGTACCATACCTACAGACACTGACTGCCAACAGATTAAGTGTGGACTGCGTGGCTTGAGTATCACTGCAAAGCAAGACAATATCGTACGTGCACTCAAGGTCTAAAAGTCTTTCTCCAGGCAACAGATCCACACCACCGTTACCTACATCCATCAGAGCTGTTTTCAAAACGTCATTGATGGCAAAGTTGGAGAGGAATGGTAAGATTAGGCTGTAGTGTCAGCTTATTCTAGCTTTCAGGCAGACCAGATTATTTATTCTTCTTGAGTCACATTATGACCTTTTCAGTTATTCGCTTATCAACCTTGACTGTTTTTATATGAGCGTATGTGTGTGCACTTTTTATTCTATTCGTCACATATCTGTACCTTATTTTTGTTCGACTATAAATATCAATTAACGCTTGATTATGCTGAATTGGCTTACTCGCATCCTTTTATTTTGCTTCGCTTTCCGACCGCTGATCGTACGAAATATACGTACTCAGAAACCCATTCTCGTAATTGACTTAATTCCGTTATTCACTAACGCGAGTTAAGTCGATAATTACTTGCGGGGATTGGCGACATGTATACTTTGATAGCAATCGTTCATAAGATCCAAATGGAGTCAGATATAGGGCCACTAAAAGGCAACCCTGCCTAACCTCATTGCTTGAATGGAACTATGGAGAGAAGTGGTTGTATGCCTTCACTCTGCTTGAGGTTTTTATACATGGGTTTTTTAAGATGTTAATAAACTTCCCAGAAACACCCTTCTTCAAAAGACAATCCCAAAGAACAGTCCTGTACAACGAATCGAAGGCAGCCCTGATGTCAATAAACACTACTATTATTTGCCTGTAATAAGTATGACGGTGTTCCAACATTTGGTGGAGGGTGAAGATATGATCAATACATCCTCGACCATAAAGAAAAGCAGCCTGCTCCTCGCGAGTCAATCTTTCTCGGGTTTTGAACAACCTACGAAGTATGACGGAAGCCAATAGCTTGGATGTAATCGGAAGTAGACTTACCCCCTGAGAATGTTACGGAAGCGACGTGAACCCTTTTTAAAGGTAGGGACAACTATCGACTCATTCCATTATGTTGGAACACTCTATAACTCACAAACCCTTGTGAACAACACAGTCAGTTCGTTAACCAGAAAGTCGGAGGTAAGTCATCTGGGCCCGGTGATTTGTAGCGCTTCAAAATTTGGAGTTCCTTGCGGACTTCGGCTGCATTTGGTGGACCAGTCGTCACAAGCCATGGAGGGCAGGACAGTCTGATCGATGTCGTCGGGGCAGCAGACCAGTTTAACTTCCCCTCGAAAAACTCTGCCCATTGTCCAAGACGTCGGTAGATGTTAGTGATTGGCAATCTTCACAAATTGTTTCGCTCACACCAGACTTCTTGTTGCCAGTGGCTCGGATCAGTTGAAAGAGCTTCCGGCAGTTACCAGATGCAGCTGCTTCTTCCAATTCATTGGCATGCTCCGATCACCATGCAACTTGGTCCTTACGCAAGCTTTACCCAATTTCATTACATAACAGTCGTCGTTCGTGGTCAGACTCACGGTCAACCGGAGTAGACCGATGGGCTTCAATGAATTGAAAGGAGACTGAAGAAACCCAGTACTTATAAGCGGGACGTTCCGCGAAGCCGCGAGCGACTTTACCCACCATTTTCATGGCGTCATACAATTCCAACTAATGCTCATCTATACTTTTCGACGTGTTGATAGCCAGTCTTGAACCTAGGATGGTTAATTACAACAGAAGATGCAACAAATTTGCTGAGATTGATCCGTTGAGGACGATGAGTCTGGTGAAACGTAAGGTAAGAGTAGGGCAAACAAGAGCACGATCAGAGTCCAGATAGGTACTCCAAAAAGAGCAGCAGTCTTGTACACAACCACAGTGGTAGCCGATTGCGATGTGATCAATCTGAGCTCAGGCTTGAGACGCAGATGGAGGGCGCCAGGTGGCATATCAGTGACGACTGTGTCGATAGTTAGTGCTAGTCAGAAACAGGTTGTATTCTGCGCAGTTGCAGTAGACGGTCACCATTATCTGACCTGAGACCAACAAGTTCCCATTGGTCACCTAAACGACTCTATTCTGTGCCTAGACGCCCGACCTAAGCATTCAAGTCTCCGGCTAGTACTACAATATCTGTAGAACGCACTTTTTGTAAAAGAACCATTAACTGGTGGTAAAACTCATTCTTGGTCGTATCCGGGCTGTAATCTGTCAAAGCATAGGCGGAGATGACGAAAAGACATCGTTTCTAACATCGATTTCTTCTCACTTAGATGTAACAGCACATAACTGACTGCTAATGGGGATCCGCTCCATTACAGCTGCCTCAGCTCTAGCGCTTAGTGCGACACCAACGCCAGCAAAACCAGACGATGTCACAGAGTTCCCGGATAAACGAATGTAAAACAAGCTTTCCGAAGCGACAGATGAAGAGCGAATTCGTAGTACTCTAATAGTTTTGAATACGGGTCTTGAATAGACAATAGACGTCGATATTAAGACTTTCTAGACATAGCTAACCCTATCTGCATTAATATGCGAATGTTGAGGGAGGACAGTTTGAATGATATACGTGGTTTTAGAAAGACTGGTTCAGTATTCGTAGTTGGTGGTAGCATTCAACTTCTGACTAGTCAGTGACTTAAGATCGTTTAGATAGGACTGAATCTCCATCATAGGCGAGCGGCTGCATAAGTTGGGAAATAAAATACACAAAATGAGAATAAAAGGTAGTAGATAAGTGATGTACAAAAGAAACAAGTTATCAAATGATTGTATGATATGTCTGAAAGTTGAAGCAAGAGTAATTTTTTCAGTAGTAATTATCATTTGATTGGTGTTTATCGAAGCCAATAGTACAGATCGATTAACTTACATCCTTACAAATAGTATATGTTATTGAAAAGATTCAAACACAAATGCTTGTACAAAGTAAAATATACTTGTGACAACTACTACTGTTACAATAAACAGAATACAAACTTACCGTTTAGCGAAAGGCTGACAGTGAAGATGAGTCATAGTTACAAACGAATGTTGAAGGGCCACATCAGGTGTTATTCGATCACATGGACGCATTTTTAGCATCTCCGTTAAAAGATAGGTAAATTGCTGGCGATCGACGATATCAAGGTCTAATTCATCAGACGCAGAATGTCCATTTACATCACGGATTTGATTTAGAGAATTGAAGAAATATTTCCTAGCCTCTTTAGCTTGCTGACCAGTTTCAGAAGCATATTCTTCCGGAGTCTTTAACCGCCAATCACATCGATAATGATCACGTACAAAAAATGTGTTGCATTTTCCAGCATTTTTTAACATATCAGAAGGGGGTAAACCTTGGGTTTCTACTATGTATCTCATCTAAATTTGGAAACGTCAAAGTAAACCAAAGAAATTAGTGGTGATATTATACTACTATAAAAGTACTTCATTTGTTATTACAAAATGTATGAGAAAATAGATATCAATTTTACTGTTGAGTCTAACTCAACACTTCCAAGCAAAAACAGCATCTAAAATACTAGTCTCAATAATTATCGGGCGCCTAACGAAGACTCGTGAACTGCAAACACGAGAAAATCAGGCTGACTTCAAACTTGGTCGTGGATGCATCGACCACGTATTCACTATCGTCAGGTCCTAGAACTGAGGCATGCTTATCGGCGTCCGACAATGGTGATCTTTCTTGAATTAAAAGCGACACTTAACTTTGTAGACCGAGAGGTTCTGTGGCAATATGTATCATTGAAAGGTGAACCTCAGAAGTACATAACCGTTGTGAAGGTTCTTTACTCGAACACTACCAGTCGATTCAGAGCTTATGGCGAACCTTCGTTTGATTTTGCAACCTCAAGTGGTGCCCGGCAAGACTGTCAACTATTTGTTTGATTTCATCATAAACCTACTGCTGGAAATAACGTTCTCATCGTCTAGATTTTCGGGAACCGATCTCCTGTCAGGAGACCCACTTATCAACTTAGAATACGCAGATGACATAGTCCTGTTGGTGGAAACGCAGCGTCTTGGTAGCACTGAACAACACTGGGATGTTAGGGATGCGTCCCACCACTAAATGCAAGTTATCACTTCAGGATTGGCCTGCGTCAACACCTGAACTAAGGATAGGGAGTGAAGTAGTCGAACGCATCGACAATCTCAATTATCTTGAAGTCTGATCAGCCCTAATTGGTTGGTGTCTGATGAAATTTCTGCATGGATTCAGAAAGCTCGTTTGGCTTTTGCCAACTTACGTCACTTATGGCGAAGGCAAGATATCCGTCTATCAATTAAGGGACGAGTATACTGTCCAGTAGTTCGTTCTGTACTACTTTACGTCTGCGAAACGTGGCCATTGAGAGTAGAAGATACCCGTAAGTTACTAGTGTTTGACCACTGATGTCTTAGAAATATTGCTCGTACCTGCTGGGATCAACGAGTAAGTCATAGTGAGGTTAGACGCAGGGTATTAGGTAATGATGATAAATCAGTTGATGAGGTTGTAGATCTTCATCAACTGAGATGGTTGGACAACGTATTACGCATGCCAAACCACCGATTACCACGACGCGCAATGCTGACTAATGTTGGAGACGGATGGAGAAGTTAGAGACGGCTAAACCAAAACTTGGCATTATTCCATAAAGTCACTAACTTCTAGTCTGAGCCATGTTGGTAGATACAGACTACTTGGTTGTGGTCCGTGTGATTATCGTATCTAATTGTTGAAGACTAGGTGGCATGGCTCAGAATCGATCACAATGGCGTAGATGTATGCACACTGTCTTCCCTTAAACTGTGAGATCAAACTTACTTTATACCTTTCTTTCTACGAACTAATTCTTTCTTCCTGTATTATATCATTTTTATATATTACTATTATTGAGGTAACTACTTCTATGAATCTGGTGTTCATCTTGTTATGTTAATGAGGTGTGGCAACTTGGACCGTTGCATATATGTGCCCGGTCTTACGTTGTAGCTGACTTAAGCAAAAATTAATAAACATCAACGTACTACCAAGCGACCAATACTGAGGTTATGAACAGGGTACTGGGTAAGGATGACGAATAAGTTGGTGAAGTGGTATACCATGATCAGCCTAGGTGGTTATATATGTATTACTTGTGAAAATCCACCGGTTACCTCAACGAGAAATTTTGTCTGATTTACCAGACTAAAAGAAAGCTTGGGTTGATCAAACCAAAATGTGGCATCAATTCATAAAATTAATGACAAGTGGAGTGAGTAACGCAGATTAGTGCAGACTACCTGGTTGGGGTCCGTGTAATTATTGCAATCAAAGGTCCGAGGCCTCAAGTGATACAGTTCAAGACCGATCACAATGGCGTGGACGTACTGTCTTGGTCTTTCGACAAACATTGATTATTGAAATCCCTTTAACTTCCTCCTTCTATATCTAAGCCTTTCTTCTATTACTAGTGACTTAGCTAATGCTTCTAGTAATTTGATAATCTTCATGATAGTTTTGCCTTGCTGTGATGTAATGTGGCAATTAGAACCGATGCACACAAGTGCTAGATATTACACTGCATATTACTGACTGGTACCTTACTATCCCTAGAACTCAAGATTTTTGGAGTAACTGCTTCTTTACATTTCAGCTAAGCAAGCGAGTCTACTAAAGTTTGTAATCACAAAAATGCAGCCGGGTGTTGAGTTTTCCAATGCCCAAAAGAAGGAAGTCCGGTACGCACTAACAGCAGTTACGAAACTCGGACAGACTTTTTCTGAACCTACAGGTTGCTACAGTAGCCAACTGCGATTAAATAGCTTGAAATTGGGAGTTTTCGTCGGTTTATGGGACTGATTCGTGGAAACAGAAGCAGTCAACAAGAACATCTTCCAACACTAATTATAACACTGTCATATTTCAGTAGTCAGCGACCGCTGACAATACTACTGTGAAATATTTAAATAACATTATATGACATGAAAGACTTGTAGTCGAACAAAATCGTGTTAAGTAAGGGACTACGGATAGACCCAAATATCATGTAGCTACTCTGGTAAAAGAACTTTTTGAGACGAGTCTTCGAGAGGTTCGTAGGTTAATCAGAGTGGATAATGGGGATTAGTTTCATCGAAGTCAAAATGGTGTTTTGTAAACCGATAGGTAATTCATGCCACCATGTACATTTACTTAGATCCAGATGGCGAAGTACGGCTAATTTTAAAAATACATAGCTTACTAGTATTAATATGTAGTGACATCATATAGGAATGAAATTCTATTCCTAAAAGACTACCGTCACCTCAAATTGTTGTGAATATAGCAGTCAGGTGGTATAAAGTACGGAAATTACAAAGCTAAATAGCTACGCGAATATTTTCCGCGATATCGAAGGGTTTACGTAACGAACGAGTAAAATTAATAACTCAGCAAGCAAGGAAGGAGTAATGCAATGATGTTCGAGGCAAACGCAAATGGCACACAGCAGTTTGAAGAAAACGACAAAACATTCCAAGTGACAATAGCAGTAACCAATAAACAATGGACCTAACTATCGTAACCAGTCGTTGGAGACTAGTTGACATGGCTCAGAATCGATCACAATGGTGTAGGTGTATACACTCTTTATCTTCTCTTAAACCGTGAGATTAAAATCGCTTCATATCTTCCTTTCTACGAACTAATTCTTTCTTCCTGTACTATGTCCATATATGCAATCTTTCTTTTATATATTACAACCACTGAACTAACTACTATGAATCTGGAGTTTATCTTGTGCTAATGAGGTATGGCAACTTGGACCGATGTACATATGTGCCTGGTCCTACGTTGTGACTGAATAACTGGATCTAACACAAAACCGCATCGATCTAAGTCATTATAATTCCCATCATCATACACACAGAAAATGACTACTATGTGTCGTTGGACCTCAAATAAATGTGGCTCAAAGCAGCACGAGAAAGCGCAACTAGTAAGTTATCTATTACATCTCTATACTTCATTTGAGTAAAACCACACGCACCTATAATCCCAGAATTTTAACTTCTTATGAGTACATCTCCCCAAATAGAAAAGTAAACACTTATCGGTTTACAAAGGCTGTATGATGCTCATTTACAAAATTATTAATTGGTGACATAAAAACCGAATTTTCGGATTCTGATTTATTTTTTGAATTCAAATTTCTGGTCACTAAATGAATAAGTAATTCATCCTTAATATATCTAACTCGACACATAAGAACTTGTCTACGTATTGGAATACATAACTCATTCACTAAGTATTTGTTTTATTACTGTAATTTGAACGAGTAACTTATTGGGCCAATAATATTATTCAGGCACCCAAACAGGAGTAAGCTGCCACTAGAACCCGCGACGTTTCGGGTGCAAGCGTCAATTACAACGCCAATATTTCACACAAAAGATATACCATAGAAGAGTACTATTCCCCCTCAAGAATAGACTTTAGCGTGTAGTATGAATCCCTTAACAATCACTACGTAATGAAGTGTTTTTTTCTTTGATGAAAAATATACAAACATAAGATTCAGACAGCTAACACATATAATCTGCGATTAACTTAACACGCTATAAGCATTTCAGTGTCGTGACATGCTACGTATGTTTGATGAACAAATTCCCAAACTAATACTTAAACGAAACACAAACAGGTTTAGAACTCACTTGATCATATTCAGATGAACCAGGATATAAAGGCCAGCCGAGGAAAAGCTCAGCTAAAACACATCCCAGTGACCACATATCAATTGCTTCATCAAAAGGTAAGCCCAGAAGGATTTCAGGAGCACGATAGTAACGTGACTGAAGGTAAGTATTTTGAACAGCTTTGGAGCTATGGCATGCAGAACCAAAGTCGATTACTTTGACTCTGTAACGCATGTTTTCTGAGTTTGGATTCACTAACATTATATTTTCCGGTTTCAAATCAGCATGAATTAAACCAAGAGTCTTTAACTTTGATAGGGCCGTGAGAACCTGCTGAGAAATGGGGCGGATCTCAGGAAGCGTCAGTGGACGAAATTTATTTGACTTGAGATACTCATATAAGTTTTGATCCAATAACTCAAACACGAAACACATATGGTTTCTATGTTGAAAGCACTCAATCGCCCTGACAATATTATGAGACTCTGTATCCTGTTGAGCCAGTGTTTGCAAAATTTGAATCTCTATATTGCCTTGCCTTAAATAGGAAGGTAGATTCTTCAATATCTTGATGGCTACATAACGACTCGTTGATCGACAGCGGCACTTGACAACCTGGCCGAAAGTTCCTCGCCCGAGAAATGAAAGAACTTCATATGCCTCGCCACCAGAATTGAGCATCTCCCCGACAACTATGGCATAGTCACCTTCAGTTGTAGTTAGCTTTGAGTTCGCCTTTGCGGTTGCAGCCGGCAGCGTATTCATGCTAGAGAACTGTATAGCACTACTTGAGATGTCAGATATTGGGGCATTTATTGCAGAGATATCAGATGTGTTGTAAGTACATGTCTGATGCTGTAAAAACGAGCCAACATGAGCTCCCAAATGACCATGTAAATGACCACTAGGAGAAGAAGGAACATGCAAGCGGTGCAACCTTGGTGCAGAAGAGCCATCGTGAATCTGCAAATTGGCGTCGTCTGCTTTCCTCTTTTTATGAATAATATGGATCCCATTCCGAGCAGGATACAAATCATTCTCATCTTTTGGTCGATCAAACTGTTTCTGAATATTAACAAGCTCTGAATATCTGGGGAACCCCGAATATTTAGCAAACTTCAATTTATTTTCTTTGAAGACATGTCCTTCCGTATAAACCGTTTGTAAATCCATTAGTAATTAATTAAAGACAAGAGATAGATGCATTTCAAATATCAGCAACCAAGAAAAACAGTCGGTCAAACAAAATCGGCTGCGAAGATACCCGCCACTGTGTGCTTGACTCCAACTCACTCAAACAAACTAGCGATCTGAGATGAACCACTATATACATCAGTCTGAACATCGCACTGTTGAAAAAGTCACGAACAGAACTGTCTTTGAAGAAATCTTATTTCTATTTTATTACAGCTGTGTAGCGGTAAATAAATCCTCAAAATAAATAGCTTTGAGTCTTCAACATTTGATGCTGACCGCCTTCGTTTTACTGGATGCACATAACTGACGGTACTCGGTTACGCATTCACACCAGATCACAAGCGGGTACGTTGTGCTACGCATCTCTGACAACCGTTTGCTAGCTTAGATAGAACGCTGCCTGATATGTCGACAGACATTCAAATATATATTCGAACCTCTTCAGTTCTGACTTCTGATTTGACTGCTTTGGCATATTTCGATTACACAGGTGTTAGTCGTAAAGGCGTTATCAAAATCCGAATACTTGCGGCATCATCAGTAGTGATCTTAACGTAATCTAGTACACCTGTTCTCAAACTCAGCCAGTTCCTTGACGGAACATCATAAATTATTTCTTGTTATTTGTTAAACATTGCGATATCGTTTCCACATTTTCGGATATTTTCCCGTTCATTGGTATACTTTGTACTTATCATGGTGGAACAGACCTCCACCATTTCAGCTAATGCTATTTTGGACCGATAATATAAAAGCCTGATTCCGCCACGCAGCTGACTTTCACGGACACAGAGTGAGACACACAATTCCTCAACGTAGCGAAGGCACTACTGAGGGATCTTAACAGGTACATCACACCAAGTACGTTTACAAGTGATGTTTCCGAACCTTATGGTACTTTAAAAAAATTTCCTTAAATTAAGAGACCTAACCAACCAACGAACGTTGGACCAACATTTCCATAACACTGATCTACAGCATGGCTTAGCCCTAGAAACGTTGGGTCATTGGTCAACGGACCTTTGACGAGGGCCTGGTTAGACAGCTATTCTAATCTAAGCTTCCTCAACAAGTACAGGCGACTCTTGTCTCATTTCAAAATAGCTCTGTAGACAAACTGCCAACCGAATTCTGATGAGCACGAGAATCCTCAGCGTCGAGGTCTACTCGGTCAAATAAAGGCATTATACAATACAAAACGACGTTACGGACCTCTGTCATACCCTCACTAGTTATAATGTTCATCATAATCGTCGACGATTAGGAACTTTTCACAAAAAGATCTGTCCCTAGACAACCAAGGGCAGATAATCCTGATTGATGCCGGTACCACAATCAGTACTCTAAGTTTTCTCGAACTTACTGAAAACGCTGCAATTTTTCAAGCTTCGAACCGTCCCATCAGAAAAACCATTGAGGACACTCTACTGACGACACATATTTACGGCTACCTGTGAACATAGCCGTCTGCTGTACATCACTGATATGGTGACGAAAATTTGCCATCGAGTGCGGAAGCTAGAGTTCTTCCAGCAAATTCTAACAACCTGCTTCACGAAGCAGTTTTCGATTTTCAGACAACGAACCGACTGCCATTTTCAGTAACCGATATGTGTATCTTAACATGGGATCATGCAAACAAATTCACCGGATTTTCATTGTTACAGCTGTTTCTATGACAGTCATTGGTACAGACCTGTTTCAACACCATAATCTACTCGTCAACACTTTCTCTTCCGGTTGTAGTTTACCCCCTTCACTTTAAGGCACATAATCGATCCATTCTATCAAAAAATAACTGATAAATACCCCCAACTAAACCAAACGCAACCAAAATAATCGTTTGTAACCTGTAACGTTACACACCACATCACAACTATAGAACTATCCGTATTTTCGAAAGAGCGCCGACTAGCTCCCGAAAGGCTTAGGTTGGCTAAGAATGAATTCAACCACTAGACACACTTGGGAATTAAAAAGCCCATGAGCATCTCCCTTGCACATGGTTCCTAGAAAAGACAGCAATGACTGGAGTCTGATTTAACACGAAAATCAGTCCATATCGTTACCCGTTGCCGCACATTCATAATTTGACAGCTACTTTAAAAGGTACAACTGATTTTTCCGCAAATCTACCTGGTTAAAGCATACAACCGGATTCCCACCAACAACTGAAAGCTTCACTGTCAACTGCAAACATTTCAGAGTGGACTGACAGTCTTTTACTCGTTTTACTTGGCATTCACAATGCTGTGGAACAACTCGTTTATGGAATATTACATTGACTTCCGGGAGAATTCATGGACCCATTGTCTTCTTCAATAAATATGGATATAAACTCCTACACCAGCAGGCTAACAAACGCCATGCGTTCCATTAAGCCTGTTTCCACTCGACCACGGTCAACGGGCGTTTTCATTCAGCTCACCTCACAATATAGTACACATTTTTATAAACCACGACTCACTTCGAAGATTTATCGAATGGCATACGGAAGAAATGTCAAACTCCTTCATCGCAGACCTAAACACCGTATAATCTACAAAAGTGGAATCAAATATAAAATCCGGATTGACCATCTTTAGGTCGCGTATTTGGAAATAAACCCTAGTAATGTTGATTTTCCTCCCGTACACTTGAATGATACGAGCCTGACAACCACGATAATCAACCTGATAATCAACAATCGCGGCGAAAATCCGTGGACATCTGACAACCGGCCTGAAGCAACGAGCTCTGGAATAAGGTTGCGCTTTTCGGTACACTTGATCAGTTACTGTGCATAGGGTAGTGCATAAAATCTGGTTTCATCTCGTTTGTTTGTATTGTTGTGTCCAAAAAAACATTTTTCCAACATGCCCATAAATGTGTATCTTTTCTTGAAAAATCCAAAACATTATTAAGCAAGTGTTTTCACGCGTATTTTCCATACGTATATATACCGCTCTTTTTGCTTTTTCGCCCGTTTTGTGTCCTTACGCACTTACTAGTGCAATTCCATATGCCCTTACATATCCTTTTTTCTTTCACGAAAAAAAACGAAAACTGGCGAAGATTACGATGGATTGGAAATTTCAGAATACTCTCCATTACTATATTGTACCACATGGCCTCTTATAATAAGGAAAGACAATCAGACGCTACTGGACATAGCAGGCTATCAGAAGAGCGTTTACCAATGACGAACCCTCTGGATTTAAACTTCTGAAATGTTACGTCTTAGGTCATCAGTATCTCACTTGGGAGGGAGTGAGCTGTAGAGGTAAATAAATCCTCAAAATAAGTAGCTTTTCAGGTCTTCAACGTTGATGCTAGGGATTGGATACACCTAGCTGAAGGTGCTCGGGTAACTGCTTTATAGCTGCTTTTGTATGGGCAGAGGTTCAAGCCTCAGATTTGTATAAGAACTTAAGGCCTCAAGCAATTCTTTGCTAGCAAGCCACCCCTAGTATTTAGTATTTTCTTTAGCAGGTCGGCTGAGTGCTAGCATATGGTTTCCTTCAGTATCAATTTCGGTGATTTAGTTACTCATGTAAAGTATGTCTACCGCGAGGACTTTGTTCGTTGTTGGTTTTCGAAGTGACCTGCCATAACTCCAAGATTACCTATAACCATGTAGAAGAAAAGATTATAACAATATATTTCTGCATGAGCAAGTACACGCCATTTTTACAGGCATGATCTATAAATTACAACATTTGTTGGTTCGCAAAATGCTTCCCAACTTATTAAGTTTATAGTTGTTATAAAGTAGACTCGTAGAGCGCTTGCTGTAAACCATGACCTTGAGGAGATGCGTACGTTAAGTTTGTTCCAGACGTCAGCAAGGCACTTAGATATGAACGCCAAATGTTGCTTAACATTATGTAGTAGAACAGATATAGGTATAATAAATCAGATTAAATTCATATTATCACTTGTCAGAGTGAAATGAAGTCAAAGGCTCTATATAAGAGAATGTAATAATAAACACCAATGACTTGCGATGTTTAACAAGTTGGAGTAAGCTCACATGAAGGAAGGCAAGTCAAGGTTGATACAAGGAAAGCGGTTTATTAGAAGGGAGTGTGCATATAGTGGATGAAATGTCAAGAATACTAGTGTCTATATCTTTTATTATCTAATTTTTTCTTTTTTTGTCCATCCAATGCCAGCAACACAATCCTAGTGTAAAAGTCCAAGTTAGCATGTTATAGGTTATCTTAGTAGAATAGCTAATCCAGCATAAAATGAAACACATTAAACAGAAATTCACTTCCGAATATCCCGAAAACCACAATTCAATCACTGTAGCGGAAAGAGAACGACGAAACTCACTCCGCAGCATTTTTGTTGGACAGTACTGTCATTTATTTGTCGTGTATTTCATTCTTTGTTCAGATCTCGTTTAACCACACCTTTTCTTCTTCAGTCTTCCTCGTCTGAGCTTTTGTTGTGTGATTTTGATTAAAGACTTATCTTTTGTTACCTAATGTTTCATTGCATGTTGCCTCACTATTGACAGTAAGGTCGTGTTTGACTAGGCTCAAGTTCACGGCGTGGTTCATTGTGTGGCTGTTAACCTATTGACTGTCTGCTTGGAAAGATTGCTGGAATCCGTGCAGATAGATATTTGATCCCATCTTGTTTGGAATATTTTTATTGATTATCAGGTGTCGAACCCTTTGGTATTTACTGCTTCCTTTATTCTTTAGCAAGCTACTTTGCGCCAGAGAAACTTCTGACTGTATAGCACAGGCTGTACCGTATGATGTATTCTGTTTTTTTATATGATTTGTTCTATTTCCTAAATTTGAACCGTTTAAATTGAGCACAGAGTTTGTGTTTTGATATAATTTAATATGAGTATCTCAAAAACGCTTCGTACACTATACAGAAGAATGTAGTCTGTCCTATTTGAATAAATTTTGGTTCATCAGTCCTGCGTTCGAATCGGATACTAGAAGTTTGATCGTTACAATCACCTCGTAATCTACGATAAGGTAATGTAAAAAGGTCTTAATTTCGAACCCGCATACCACAAAATATATGCGCCAAGCCTCTCTATCAACTGTTCTCCATAGGTACAAATGTTTTCTA